AGGGTACAGGGCTATTAAAGTAGCTAAAGAGCCTATTAGAGTAGTTCCTTAGCCTATGCCTTACTAGCCGAACTAGTCGACTTCTAGGGCGTAGCTAAGGGTTCTCCCGAGGCTCTGGCTATTCCGAGTGCATTTTTAGTATATTTAGAGCCTAAAAGCAGGGGGTGCTAAAAGCAAGGGGGGGCCCTAAAGGGCGTTTCGAAAGCGCCCTCGGCTTCCGAGTCAGAGGGAGATTCGATTCGGGTCCCAGAAAAACGTCTAGGGGTTAGTATAGAAGGGCTAATGTGCCTTTTCGAATTTAGACGCGTAGCGAGGGATAAATCCTCTATAGTACAGATATTATCTATATCTACCTCCCCCAGGCCCTCTATAGTTATAAGGGCCTTAGGGGCGGGGGGCGTGAGGGCTATTAGGGGCGTTAGGGGAGTTCTTATAGCTAGCGTTATAGCTAGTAGATTGTTGTTTATAGCGTTGTGGTTGTGTGGAGGTCGGGGGTACCGCTCGCGCGGCTAGGCCTACTGCTTTGTCAGCGTAGACGCACGGCCCACGTCAGACTTTTCCCCCGTATACAGGGGAGCCACAAGCCCATTTCCAGGCATTTTAGCACTTATTATATACCTAAACTAGCGCCTGCGTGATACAGGGCTATAGCTAGGCGTATATAGCTTAAAAGAAGCTATCGATTAATCTAGGTTTCGAGTGCTTTAGGGCGTTTACGCGTAAAACGTAGGTCCCCCCACGTGAGTTATAAGAAGAATTATTATTACGGATACTACTATTACTATAACACTTTACAGTTTGTTATTCCGACGTCTAAGCCGTTCCCTACGCTTTTAATATCCTTAGAAGATTATGCAAGCGCGGTCCTTATAGTATTAGCTATACTTCGGGGTATAAAGACCAAAAAGGATAACCACTAATAATAGGCGGCCGCGGGTGCCCTTAGGGGGTGCTAGGCATCCAGATGTCTATTACCCGCGCGCCTATCTATTATAAGCCTCTACACGGCTAAGAAGGTTCAGAACGATACTACCTAGAAGGCGTTCTTTAGCGCTAGAAGGACTTATAACCCTATACAGGTAAGTAAGTAAGGTATTAATAATAGTGATATCCGGTTACTATATCCCTTTCCCTTTAATACCTCTTAGCCGCTATCGTATCTAACCCACGAGGATCTCCCGCCTCCTCTAAACCACTACCGCGATATACGCCTTTACCCATTACGGGAGTGGTGGTTATAGGCTAAGGGGGAGTACTTTAAGGGCTATTAATAAATAGGCTACTAGTAAGAGGTAAGTGGCGATTAGGCTAATAAGTAATAAGTTCTGGCCTATAAATATGTGTATACCTATCAGTTCGATCAGGAGGGCACCGTCCTTAAGTATAAGGCATATCTTATAGTATAAGGAGATTAATAACAACGATTAGAAACTAAAGATAACTACGTCGGTATATTAGCCTCGTAGTCCTTCGGTATACTAATAGTTATCGCTATACGATTTAACCTAGAGATAAGGTAGGATAATACTATGAACGTGTTTATTCAAGCGAACCTTGTAGAGAAAGTGTATATAAGGGTACTATAAGGCTACGAGGTGCTATGTAAGGTCCTACTACTATAGAAAGCCCTTTTCGGTTTAAGAGTATCGCTACTGCTATAGTAAGACGAATTTAGCGACGCGCTGCAGAAGATAGGATTTATGGCTATCCCTAATAACTCCTATATTATAACACGCGACGGTTTAGTCCTGTTCTTCTACCAGTATTAGAGTATAAATGGTTTAATTATATATACCTCTATCGTAATAAGACCTGATATCGCGTTCGCCTATTTAAAGCTTTCCTACTATAATATTAGCCTTTCCTCTAACCACCTTAAGAGGGCTGAATAAGTACTACTATTCTTATACTATATAAGATACTGCTATATAGAATTCGGTGGAGATAGACTATTCTTAACCGCGAGTAACGCCTCTTTTGTGAATAATCCAGATTCGTAAGAGCTTATAAGGATATACTATAAAGTTCTTCGGAGGAGCTATTAACTAAAAGGAAGGTAAGCAACCGACGGTTATAACGTCGTTTATGGAGTTAGAACTCCTTACTCTTATAGAGACGGCTAAGGAGATATTATTAGTTAGTCGAATATTAAGGAATTTAAAGCTTTGGTTAGGGTAATAATACCTATAGTTATATTACTATAATTAGCAGACTATTAAGCTCGTTAATAAGAAGGTATAACGCGTATAAACGAGGCTATAATATATTAATTAATATAACTAGTAGGCGCGCTAGTTAGTATAATAAGGACTGTTTAAGGTTATGTATATTAACACGAAGTATAATACGCCTTAGATTCTATAAAGAATACTACGTCGTACTACGAGGTACCCTAGCAGTACTGTAATATAAGCTATAGCGCCCACGGTTTATACTATGGGTACTTTTAGGGTATACTATAGCTTCCCTGGGGTATAAATAGTGATTATCGGGGAATTTCCCGGGTTCCTATATGTAAGAACAGACGTTTCTACGGGGGTATACCCGTGGAATACTTAAATCCTGGGGGCGCGCCCTCTTAGCTTAGATACGATATCTTTATTACACCTATTTTTCTATAGTAAAGGTGGCCACTTAAATCCTAGGTTCCATAGGTCCGATAGTGCTGGCTGGCTAGAGTAGTACCCGGATAGGGTATATTAAAGTGTATAATCCTAGACGGGTTAACGAAGGCCCTGCTAGAGGCAGGGATTAAACGACTATAATAATAGCTTAATTTAACATATTAAAAGGACCGCATTAAATAGTTAAAACGATTACACAAAGAGATCAAGCGCGCTAAAGCCGTAGCGACGATAATAGCCCCCGAGGACGTGGTAGATCTAATTGATATAGATCTGATTAAGTTAATCAGAAATAAGGAACTAATTACGATAAAATTAAATTAACGGGTTAAAAAAGGGGAATTTAGATCCCTTTTGCGAGAGGGTTTTTCCACTCTTAAAAGACTATTATTTTTATAATAGAAAAGATTAAGAGCGTTTAGATTAAACCGAAGCCTCTAATTAGTTAGTTAAACTAAAAGGACCTAACTTAACTAAGGAGGTATATCGTATGCATATAGGACTATACCTGACTAAGGGTTTTAGACCTCGGGTATTGCAATATGATAAGGGTGGATACTAGGAAAGACCGGATAGGATCCAAATAACATAGTACCTATAATAGAGTTTTTACTACCTAAATTAAGGGCATAATAGACTCGCATAGATATAACTTAATATAATACACACACTCGAGATTGCTGCTCTTTTGGGATTATCACTATAATTATCATACAAAGTGCTACTTAACGTGCGATAGTAGTTATCGTGCGATAATATATCTAACACAATGTGGTTTATCGTAACCTGTCGAATAGACTAGACTCTTTTCGGTTACGTAAACGGGCCGGATTACTAAGATTATAGTCCGAGTAGACGCTTGCAAAATCTGCACTATATAAAATACGGTGGTAGCGGTTTCTTAATAGTCCGACACAGTTAGAAGGAGAGATACTTGCCTTTATTAATTTTATCCTATTTTACAACGATTTTAACTACGCTTTATCTTATAATTAAGAGTCTTACTTACTAAGTGAAAACCTACCTTTTACCTTTACTATTACCGATTAAGAAGCTATCTAGCTACGCTGATATAGCGTGTTAATTTATAACTATTAAGATATCGGAGTATAAGCCTGTTATCTATACACCCTATTGCAATTATAAGCTCTAGCATAGCCACTACGAAGCTATAGTCATTAATAACGAAGTCTAGGAATATCTACGCCCTAATAATCCTATTTTACCTCCTATGCTAACTTCTAGCCTGTATATATAACCCTATAAGTAGAAGCTACGCCCTCGTAGTAGTCAGATCTAACACTCACTAAGTAACGCGCCTACGATTCGGCGATATAACGCTAGAAAATATAGAGAGATAACTATGCTAAGTACATTAAGCTTATCATGACTATTTTACCCTAATAAACTAATACTATCGACTAAAGCCGTAAGCTACGACTACGTAATACCACGCCTAAAAAGGGATTTAAAGTTGTCCGCCGCAATACTGCTTACTATATAGTATCCCGCCGCGTTAACACCTACGAAGAGTATAATACACACGTCCGTAAGCGCGCCAATAACCCTAAAGAAGTTATAGAAGTGAATATCTAGATGGTAGAAGCTGCTACTACGCCTTAAGGGGTTTTACCGAAGCCCGTAACGTATATCTAGGTAGTAGACTTCTTTAAGGAGATACTTATAATCGCTAGACGCAATTAGACCGATACCGAGGGACGTCTTTTAGATAAGAAAGTACTGCTTCCCGAAGAACTTTATACCCTTAGTTAACAATATATTAAGACTAGACTTAAAGACTAAGGAAAACGCGGAAGCCACCGCGTTATAGTATTCCCGGCACTATATACTAGAAGCGATAAGGGCGAAAATACCTTAAATCCCACGGCTAAGCCTAAGAAGGGTGGCCGTGGGAAGAATAAAGCTACGAATCCCTCTACTGCTAGATCTATAACTATACCTTCTCCTGCTTTAGGTAACTATTACTCTTCTAAACGCCGCTAATTTACCCTATAAAAGGCGTAGATATACCGCGTATACGCTATACCTAGTTACTATATTCACGCCTGCTTCTATCTATTCCCGGGAACTGTATATAATAACTAGTCTCCTTTTAAGAGTATAAAAATAACTATCTAATAGATTCTTAAATACGACCCTACGATACGCGCGGAAGTAGAAGAACTACGTACAGTAAAGAAGGTAAAGAAGGATATAAGCCGGGACTCTATATAGCTTAAAAAGGCGTGACTCGACTATAGCAGCGTCTATAGCAGCGTCTCCTATACTGCTAGCTTTATAGCAGGAACCGCTACTACTAGCTACCCTTTTTAAGCCTTTACTATCCTCGATTCCGGTGCTATAATCTATATCTTAGGGGGGATAGCGTAGGTGGTAGATACGCCTAGTGGCCGCGCAAGGCCGTGGGTTCGAATCCCACTCCTCTTAATCGTCGTGCGCGAGTTCTTTTATAAAAAGGAATTCGCGCGCGACTTACCCGGAGCTCCTGCACGTTATAGGGGTCCCTGCATATTCGGGGAGATATTTGTTAGCTTGTGCGCTAATAAGTGGAACCACACTGCCTCCGGTACGTACCCTCCTTAGGGGGGGAGGGTACGTACCTACCACGCGTAATTAAGCGCACACACATAACTACTACGATTAGGCCTTCGAAGCTAGGGCCTTTAAGGAGCGCGTAACAAACAAGACACTTCCCGGAATAATGATACTGGTTCCGCCATAGCTCTATGCAAAAAGAGCTAGTATAAGGATTTTCACTTTACTATTAACGGGTTCATATACATAGACTAGTTAACTCGTTATAGGATTAGTCTCCTTAATAGACTCGCGCTATAGCTTTAGGGCTGTATACGCGTATTGAATAAAAAAATAAAAAAAATCTATATCTTTAACGATTTTTTCCCCTTTTCCGATTTTATCCTTACTATATAGGGAGACTATATAGCCGTAGGTAATTCGTCCCTGCCTATTAAAGGTTATGTTAATATAACCGTGAGATTAACCCTACTAATAGGAGGCCTTAATTTTAGGCTATTAAATATCGTATACTATGAAGATTTTACTTATAATTTAATCTTAGAGTAATAGTTACTATTAAGCTATAACCTAAGCTTACTATATAGAAGAGTACTAGAGCTATACTATAACTATAAAACCTATACGCTTAGTAATACATGCACTCGGGAACCTACTTATTCGGCGACCTCAAATATCTAGCTAGCCTTAGTAAGCCTACAGGGGCACTAGGACCTATAAGGGGCCTAAGCGTTCGATACTTCCGGGGAACCTATCGAAGGCCTAAGCGTGTAGTAGCTTAGGGGAGCCTGTAGAGCCCTAGGACCTCTAAGGGGCCTAAGCTTTATACGAGACTTTCTGCCTTCTACCTCTAACGTATCTAGACAAGGTGGGTCCACTAGCATTATATATATAGCGTAATCTCCCTCTTCTATAGATAATATTCATCCCTTCTTTATTATGTCTTCCATAGAAGAACAGCAGACCTTTTTTTCTATAATTCAACCACTTTACCTCTTCTTTATTTTTCCTCTCTTCCGCTTCCAGTGACCTTTATCAACAGTTACGACTCCGAGGATACTAGTAGGGTTAGAAGCCACTAAATAATAACTGCCTTCGCTATGCTAACGGATTAATACTATATTAGCTAAGTTATCACTTCGATTAGACTATTATTAAGTATATACCCCGCGATTCTGACTAATCTACCCCTACTTTTCTAGGCTCTTCTTCTATCTGAAAATCGACGATACGATATCTAGGCACTACGGAGGGCATCTTATAGTATCCACGGCTAGGGTATACTATCCCTAAGCCGCTTAGGCACCTAGGAAAGCAGACGTAGGGGGTTAAAATTCAGGGACTAATAACTATCGACTACGTGGCCTATAAGCTCGTAAAGATAAAACGGCATATTAGCAGGCACCCTTATATAGTAGTAACCTACGTAGTGGAATAGTGGGCGATTAATTCCACGGATTTTAAATAAACGTCCAATGGGGATTCATGGCTTATATTTTTCACCGACCGTTATAGGGGCTTTACAGCCACCTACGTTATAAAGAGTAAACTAGTAGCGGATATCCTCGTAATAGTCAAGGAATTCCTCGTCTAGGTAGACCGTTAATTAGGCTATAAGGTACGTGCTTTCGAAGCTAATAATAAGCCAACTCAATCTCACGATATCACCTAATTCCTACGCTAAGAGGGCATCTTTTTAAAGGCATCTACTACCGATACTCAAACGCAGAATAGGTGTGCAGAATATACTACTATTATAGTAATCTTAAAAGGTCGTGCGATAAATATCTACGTAAAACTACTGCCGTTTATACAGCCTAAGGCTATTTCCACGGCTACGTACGTCTATAACCGCACGGCACGAAGGCCGTATAATGATAAGAATTAGAAAACACTATATAAGGATCTTTTTAATAGAATGCCGATTTTATTATATCTTTAAGCCTATGGTTATAAGGCATACATAATAACTAAGGAGGGTTTATAGCTACGTAGTCTATTACTTACCTCTTTACTAGTAACCCCGCCGTCGGTTATAGCGCTAATAGTAGCCGTTATATAAGGAAATCGTGATATCTTTACGGTTACGGCTATAGGGTTCCGGGATAAAGGAATACGGTGCTGCCATACGCCTATAGCTACGTTTATAGGGCTTCTATTATATAGAGGAGCGCGACTAATTTAGTAAAGAAATAGCTAGTAAAGAGATAGCTAAGTAGCTACGTTTAATACTAGCCGCCACGCCTTAAATATACGCAGCTTAGATAGGATTCCGCTTACTAAATTACGGTTAAAAAGGACTACTCCTATAACGCTATAGCGGCGTTTATCATTATTACTCAAATTTATAGCCCCGATAATAGTCTCAGGAAACATACCCCTAATAGTAACCTTAGGAAGCACCGCCCCGGCGGCCTCGAAGATCTATTATAACGATCTCCCTCGTCCTCCGAAAAGCCCTCGCGATATACTCTTATACCCTTCCGGCCACCTATTCTGACAGGTATAAGAAGACTACCTATAGAGCCACGAAGAGATAGGGTTATAGATACGGGTGCCGGCGTCCGTAAAAGATAGAAAGTAGGTTCTAAACTCGATATAGGTAATAATATATGAAGTCGATAAGTATGGATTTTTATATAAATATAAAGAAAGGCTAGTAGTACGAGGAGATTTGTAATATTCATCCTCCCCGAAGGAGACGTATAAACCTATATTAGCCCGACGGTTATTGCGCGCATTAATAGTAATCGCTGCCTGTTTTAACTATACGCTATTATAATTCGATATTATTAACGCGTTTATATATGCGCCCCTCCCCCACGATATCTTTATATACCCGCCCCCAGGCTTTCTAGCCCTAGAACTTATTTATACCTTTAAAAGGCGTTAAATAGACTTAAAGAGTCCTTATTATTTTAGTAAAAGCACTTTTTGGCTGTCCTATTGGCGGACGGTTTCTAAATAGTGCGATAAGAACCGTGTTAGTTTCTACGTCGGGGTTTAATCCTGTTTTTCTATGTAAATGATATCGTTATTACGTATAAGGAATAATATAAGGCTTAGATAAAGCAGGCTATTAATAGCCTATAACGCCACTTTTTTTTTAAATGTAATACGTGTATATAGCCCTAAAGCTATAGCACGAGTCTATTAAGGAGACTAATTCTATAACGAGTATCTAGTTATTTATATAACCTGTATATAAAAGTAAAGAATATACGAAGCAGAATTATTAGTCCGGGACTTGTCCTTAAGTGGTGGTGCGCGCTCCCCGAAGTTCCCTAGGCTCCAGGGTTCGATCGCAGGTATATATATGGGTGCGCTTAATTACGCGTGGTAGGTACGTACCTTCCCCCCCTAAGAAGGGTACGTATCGGAGGCAGTATAGTTCCACTTATTAGCGCGTAAGCTGATAGATATCTCCCCGAATAAGCGGGGACCCCTATAACGTGCAGGAGCTCCGGGTACGTCGCGCGGCGAATTAAAGAATTTGCGCGCGTGATTAAGAGGAGTAGGATATCAAATAAAGCATAGTCAAAATCGTTACAAAATAGGTTAAATTTAATTTAGGCAATTATATATAATTATAACTATCTTAGACCGTGAGGGAAACGCTACCACCGTATTTTATATAGTGTAGATTCTGTAAGCGTCTACCCGGATTATACTCTTAGTAATCCGGTCTATTACGTAACCGAAAAGACTATAGTCTATTCTATATACCCCCTAATCGCCCTAAATGTTAGTCAAGCGATTAAAGCTATTCGTAATCGGCAGATAATCCAGCTATATAATATATTCGCTATAGCCGCCCTTAAATTTATCCTCCAGGCCCTCTAAATATTCTATCCGGACTTCCTCTAGCTATTTCTGCTATAACCGTTCCCGTATATCTATCACGCCTACCTAGGACCTGAATATCTTAAATTTCTCGCCGTGTAACGCCTTCGTTAATCCGTCTACCACTATTTCCGCGCTTATAACGTACGTTACGAGCATTTACCCTTATTTCTTTACTTAACGTAACAAGTAGCCGTGGATCTTAATATAGCGGAGGCGCGTTATTAACGTGCTAATCTCTTAATTAACGAATCGAATCGTTTAGTTATTATCGTATAAGATCCTTAATTCCGGATCGTTAAATTCTACTCCTATACTAAGTAATAAGCGTTATATAGAGATACCCTCTTTTACACCTTATACTAACGCTAATAGCTCTACTTCCGTTATTAACGTCGTGACCGTATACTACTTATTAGCGCGCCACGCAATTACACCGCTAAATAAGCGTATCACGTATGCTTAACTACTCTTGTAATTAAGGGTATTATTGGTAAATAAGGCGTTAGTATAGATTATAATAGTATCGCTACCCCTTAGTTCTAATATAAACGATTAGCTATTAATTAGATAAAGGATTAGATAATCGGCGGCCTTATAGTAGATAGGCCCTGCATTAACGTTAAACCGGTATAGCCTAGATACTATAAACGCGATATTAGGCCGCGATATCACTACTACGTATAGTATAGATCCTATCTTCCGTTAATAGCTTTTAACGTCCGTCGAGGTCCCTAAATAGGGTAGTAATTCTACGATCTTAATTAGGTGCGTTAGGCGATAGTTACTACTATACTTACTATTACTCTTTAGCTTTAATAAGCGTTCTAACTTAGTACCGTAATCGCGTTATAATAGCTAGATTTTACGGGCGACGCGGTCGCGGATAACCTTAATACTAAGGAACTATTATAGAGGATCGCTACCATATAGGTTATAATAGCATTATAGGTTATTAATAGCCTACTCTATCTACGCCTTATAATATTTCTTATAAGTAATAACGATATCGTTAACGTAGAAGAACAGGATTAAACCGCGGCGTAGAAAATAACACGGTTCTTACGGTATTATCTAGAATCCGTGCGCTAAAAGGATAGCCGAAAAGTGCTTTTACTAAAGTAGCGGGGACTCCTTAAGTCTATATAACGCCTTTTTCAGATATAGACGACTCCTAGGGGCTAGAAAGCCTAGCGGCGGGTATATAAAGATATTATAGGGGAGGGGCGCGTATATAAACGCGTTTATAATGTTATATTATAATAGCATGAAGTCAAAACGGGCGGCGATAGCTATTAACGCGCGGAATGACTATCCGGCTAGCCTTACTGCGTATATCTCCTTAAGCGAGGATTAATACTACTAATCTCCTCGTACTATAAGCCTTACCTTATATTTATATAGAAATCTATACTTATCGAACTTATATATTATTACCTATATCGAATTAAGAACCTAATATCTTTCTACTACGGACGCCGGCACTCGTATCTATAACCCTATCTCCTCGTGGCTCCGTAGGTGGTCTTCTTATACCTATCGGAATAGGTGGCCGTAAGGGTGCGAGGGTATATCGCGAGGGTTCTTCGGAGGAGGAGGAAAGTCTTTACGGTGGATCTTTACGGCCGCCGGGGTAACCGCTAAAGCACCCGCTAACGTAACCGCCGGGGTTATATTTCCCGAGATAGCCTCCCGGGATATACTTCCGGTAGCTACCGCCAGGGCTATAGATTCGCAGGGTATTATTAAGCGTCGCTATAACGCTATAGGTATAGACCTTTTTAACTATAATTTAGTTAGCGGAGTCCTATTTAATATATATATATTAGGGGCGTAGCGGCTAGTATTAAACGTAGTAACCTAATAGTCTCTTTTCTAGCTATCTCCTTACCGAATTAGTTACGCTCCTTTATTTAATAGGAGCCCTATAGCCGTATCTATAGGGGTATCGTAGCACCGTATTCCGTTATCCTAGAACCCTATAGCCGTAGGGGTATCACGGTTTTCTAATATAACGGCTACTATTAGCGCTATGACTAATAGCGGGGTTACTAATAGAGTAGAAAGTAGTGGATTAGGCGGATATAAACGGTAATCAGGCGCTACACCGGCTAAATTATACTATTTATAACCTAAATCTTATCCTGATTAACTTAAGATAGGCTCCTCTACCCCTCTACGGCCGGGTATTACGGACTATAACCTTAACGGTAAAGCCGTTAAGGAAGGGGATCCAGGGGCGTTTATCCCCGGATCTAATAATTTAAAAGAAGCAGTTATAAAAGGGGGGGGGGTCCTTAGCTTATATATCTGTAAATAGCCGTGAATCTCTAGCCCTCTCCTACTTAATCTAACTAATTAGGTCTTCTAATTACTCCTCGGTTAATTAATAGAGGTTATCCTTAAAAGCATTAATATCGCCGTTAAAAAAGGCACGTTCGTTAAAATCTATATCGCGCGTGCGAATAACGCGGTAGTAGCGCCGGCCTAGCACTAAGATACGGAAGATATTAGTGGAATCGTAGCCGATAAGTTAGCCGATATAAGCGCGGGGAGCGATACGATTTAATAGCTTATTCGCGCCTCTTTAGGCGTTCTTTATTATCGCGTACGCCTTATAGCCGTAAGCTCGAAGATATAATAAAATCGGCTTCCTTCTAAAGAGAACCTCGTATAGCGTTTTCGAATCCTTATTATTATACTGCCTTCGTAGCGTCCGGTTATAGAGGTACGTAGCCGTAGGAATAGCCTTGGACTATATAAACAGCGGTAGTTTTACGTGGATATTTATCGCACGACCCTTTAAAATAACCACGGCAGTGACGCGTCTACCACCCCTATTCTACGCTTAAGTATCGGTAGTAGATATATCTAAAAGCATACCCTTATCATGTAGGAATTAGGTGATATCGTAGAATTAAGTTAGCTCGTTATTAGATTCGAAAAGGCGCACCTTATAGCCTAATTAACGGTCCACCTAGGCGAGGAATTCCTTAATTATTATAAGGATATACACTACTAGCTTACTCTTTATAATATAGGTGGCCGTAAACCCACTATAACGGTCGGTGAAAAATATAAACCGCGAGTCCCCGTTAGACGTTGGGTTAAAATCCGTAAAATTAATCGCCCACCGCTCCCCTATATAAGCAGGTACGGTATAAAGGCGCCTACTAATATACCGTTTAATCTTTATAAGCTCGTAGGCCTTATAGTTAATAGTTATTAGTCCCTTTATTTTAACCCCCTACGTCTACTCTTCTAGGTGCGTAAGCGGTTTAGGGCCAGAGTCGTAGATACTATAAGATACCCCCCATAGTGCGTAAATAGCGTATCGTCGATTTATAGATAGCTTTTCGGGTAGAAGAAAAGCCTAGAAAAGCAGCCGCAGATTAGTTAGAGGGCACGTATTTAATAACGGTTTAATCGAAGCGGTGACTTAGGTAGTACAGTATAGATCTATCGGAACGCCGAATACAGTTATTTAGTGGCTTCTAATCCTACTAGTATCCTCGAAGACGTAGGCGTTAGTTAGAGATTAAATTAGAGGCAAAATCCTCGTAGTATACAATATTTAATAGCCTGAATTCAAGGCCTCCTATTAGCCCGTTTAATCCCACGGTCACGTTACCGTAACCTTTAATAGGCAGGGACGAACTACCGACTACTATATAGTCCCCCTGCGTAGCGGGTATAAAATCAGAAAAACGGGAAAAATCGTTAAAGATATAAATAGTGGCGCCGGAATTAAGGATAGCAGAGGTTCGAAGAGGGTAACTAGCAGTAGTACCCGCTATAAAGGTAGTAGCGTAGGAGACGCCGCTACGGACGATGCTATAGTCGAGTCACGCTTCTTTAAGCTATACAGAGTCCCGGCTTATATCCTTCTTTATCTTCTTTACGGTGTATAATTCTTCCACTTCCGCGCGTAGCGCAGGGTCGTTTTTAAGGATCTATTAGACGGTTATTTTAGTGCTCTCGAAGGGCGTCTACTCGTTATATACTATATCCGGGAATAGATAGAAGCAGGCATTAATATCGTGGCTAGGCATAGCGCACACGCGGTAGATCTACCCTCTCTATAAAGGAGATTAGCGGTGTTTAGAAGAGGAACGGTTAGTTAAAGCAGCTAAAGGTATAGCTATAGATACCGCAGTAGTAGGATTCTTAGCTTTATTCTTTCTATAGCCGCCCTTCTTACGGGGCTTAGCCATGGCCTCTAAGGTATCTTTACCCTTTTCGCTTCCGGTATGTAGTGCAGGGAATACTATAGCGTGGTGGCTACCGCGTTTCCCTTAGTCTTTAAGTCTAGTATTAATATACTTCTAGCCAAGGGTATAAAGGTCTTCGGGTATAACTACCTAATTATCTATAAGGTGACCCGCGGTCTTAGTCTAATCGCGGCTAGTATAGGGGCGTATACTTCTAAAGAAATCTATAACCTATATATACGTAACGCGCTTCGAACCGGTATATTTATAGCTTTATAGTAGTAGCTACCACTTATCTAACCACTCCCCGAGCTTTTTAAGGCTATTCGTAGGATAACGAGTATACTCGATATACTCTTCGTGGGTATCGGTTTAGCGGGTAGCCAGGTACTAATCCGTATCGCGTTTAACGGCTTCGTACACCTCGCGAGGTATACCTCCTTATAGCAGTTATCTACGGCTTTAGTCGATAGTATTAACCTATTAGGTTAGTATAGCGTTAATCCCCTTTAGGTAGCTATCGTATTACGCTTATAGGATCTACCAGCGCGCGATTTCGACGTCGTACGCCTTTTAGCCGGCGTCCGTAAGGTTACTTAATTAAGACATTAGTATCTTAATAACGCGCCTTCGCTACGTTAATATCTATGGCTACTAGTTATGTTAAGTAAAGAAATAAGGGTAAATACTCGTAATATACGCTATAAGCGCGGAAATAGTGGTAGATAGGCTAACAAAGACGTTATACGACGAGAAATGTAAGATATTTAGGTCCTAGGTAGGCGTGATAGATATATGGGAACAGTTATAGTAAAAATAGCTAGAGGAAGTCCGGATAGAGTATTTAGAGGAACCAGAGAATAAATTTAAGGGCGGCTATAGCGAAGAGATTATATAGGTTATATACCTATTATATCTGCCGGTTACAAATAGCTTTAATCGTCTAACTAATATTTAGAGTAATTCGGAGGTATATCGAATTACGTAAACGGGCCGGATTACTAAGATTATAATCCGGGTAGATACTTACAGAGTCTGCACTATATAAAATACGGTAGCAGCGATTCCTTAACGATCCGACATAGTTAGAAGGAGAGATAATTACCTTAATTAATTTTGACCTATTTTATGACGATTTTGACTACGCTTCATCTGACACACCCAATAAGGTGGCTAAACCATCTGACAATTTGTGTTCTGACAGGTGTCGAGGTTAGGGATGGCTAGAAGTTGTCGACATGTTCGCTTACTGCATATATGTTTCTCGTCTCCCTCCTTAATCCATTGCCTAATTTCTTACCTTGCTCCATTGTCGAACATTGATCATCTACACATTACCATCTATCGCTAGACCATCCCCTGCAAAGGACGTTGGTCGCGGCATCGCTACGTTCAGGTTGAGCGATACATTGCCCTTCGTGGGCTGGCATCCCTAGGCTGCTCCATTCCAGTCCCCCTGCCTCTCAGCGACCGCATATGCCATCTAGCACCTAGAACCAGCCCCGTCTTCCGACCTCGCGATCCTGCTGTTTACACAGTTCCCTCCCCGTGATACCAGCAATAATCCCATAGTGTTTCTTGTTCAGATCCAGACATGGGGCATGCATCTCCCAACATCACTGTACGTCCCTCACTGGGCGATCATCTTCCTCCAGGCCAATACATCGATTCCCAGGGTGCACATGCCCAACAGGCGCACCACTAGGGAATCCTGAATATTTCAAGATGCTAATTCTCCTATTCGATGGCTAGTCTCAAAGACCCTTCTCCCCTTACCGTCTGCCTTCCAGACACGCAGCGCGGGAGAGACTGCCTGCGAACTATAGCTTTTCCCACTGTGCCACTGAACACCCAGAAGACCGCCTTCGAAGGAAGACACCGAACGGCACGATCGATGGGGGCTATGAGGGATCACCAGCACAACTTTCCCATGGGCCTCCGTCTTTCAAACACGTGATACTGCAAGCGACATCTCCTTCTCCTCCTACCCGGGTTGACCCATCTTTGTCTGTCGGCGAGTCTAGCAAGCTCTCAACGCTTAATCCGCCACTTCTTGTCAGCACGCAGCCACGTCAAGTTGAGGCCGTTAATATCACACAATGTTGGTCAACTTCTCAGAACTCGGCATCACTTCGTCCTGCCTTCCCTGGTTCATATGCTGTGCATGAAAGATCGACGGCGAAGAAAACATCCGGCGTCAATCGAATCAACGCTACACATACGAGTGCGAGTGGTTATCCCCGACCACAAGACAGTACTTATACCACCCGGGCCGTTGACTCGACCACCTGGGCCATGGAGCAGCGCGACTTTGTCGCGACTTCGTCTCAGAAACACGCATTGCCCCCTCGATGGCATGACCAACCATACACTCAGCCGCCCCTCGTTTTCCCTTCATCTCCGTTCACCCAAAGTGCTGACATATCTGGTTCCTCTCCACGCTCTGTGACTACCCCAATCACTTTTAGCGGCTACGGTAGCAGCCTCGGGTCTCATTACCATTCCCCGCTTCTTTATCATGAATCTTTTACAATACAACCCGTTATCCCCCCTCCCGAACAAGTATCACCGTCCTGGTTAAGAGAAAGGGCTCTGCTCCAGGCGCACGGTGCCTATAGTGATCTGCTCGCCCATCTTCACCAGACCCGGCAGTCCCAGCAACCGACCTTGGGTATAGGTCCGAGTTCTAGGTTGCTTGTATATCCCAAACCCCCGAGGCATCCGATCGTCGCCCCTAGCATCCCGCTCCAGCATGCTAGTCCCATAAACCCCAGCTCCTTAGGGAGTGGATTTGCGGCTGTCTTCCCGTCCGCGCAGCCTTCTCAGTTTGGTTCCTTGACTGATGTCGCTGGCTGGGACGCTAACCAGGCGACGAACTCGGAGAAGGGCGCTTTCCCCTACGCCAACACACTCCCAGTGTTTCCGCATTGTCCTTCGCCTGCTGCGACCCGCAATGTCTCACCCTTGCCCCTAGCCAAGGCATCCTTGGTATTGTTAACACGCCTGTGTGAAGAGAGTGAGTGGAAATGGATCCATGGCATGATGCTTGGTGGATGTCTACAATACAGCCTCGATCGTTGCGAAGATGCTCTCGAATGGTTTACTAGAGTTGTCGAACTTGATCCCAAGTAAGTGTGTCGATTGTCCGTTATACGTGTGGGCTGAGCTCACCACCCCCGCAGTCATGTCGGGGCTTTGTTTAACATTGGCGCTACCTTTTACGGCCTCAACTGCCTCGCGGAGGCCGAGGCATACTGGCTTAAAGCCATTAAAGTCCAACCGCACTTCTTGGAAGGTGCTGAACATCTTGTGGGCTTGCTCTATAAACGAAAACGTCGCGAGGCGGTCGAGGTCATTGAACACGTCCAGCAGTCCCTGAAGATGTCCGAACTCTTGTCAGGACATCTAACCCCACAGGACATTACCATGAATCCGCATGGGTTTGGTTCCAGTGGCTACACGATAGCAGGGAGTGATAATGGCCGAATGTTGGCCCTTGTTCACGCAAAAGGCACAATCCTTTACAGTCTACACGACATCGAGGGTGCGCTAGAAGCCTTTGAAGAGGCCATCTTGATAAGCACTGGGAGGCAAATTGATTCCATGCAGAGCCTCATTCGAAGAATTCAGCTAGTGCTATCTCCCTGGCACGGTGCTCTATCGAATGCAGAGGCTACGCAACCCCTACTCCTGCCACCAGAGAAGGCTGAACATACGGCAAGACTCGTCTTTCCGAATGACGCCGTCTTGCCAGGGCTTCGCTTCGTTCCAGATGGTCCTCCAAAACGAATAGCTGTCCAAACCACGAGCAACTGTCTGCTCTCACTTGCCAAGATTTTCCAGGATGCCTTGTCGAGCGGATCTGCCAACCCAGCCCATCAAAGACGAGCCTCTGGGATTGGAGACATACTTGCGCTCTATTACTTGTCGCTATCTTTACAAGCAAGCCCGTCAACAGCGAACAATGTCGGCATTCTTCTAGCGAGCCTTCAGCTGTCATCACCTGTCCCCTCACGATCCAACGCACCAGGGATGGAGCGACAATCTAGGATACCTGGAATCCCGCCTGGCAGCGCTCATGCGCTTGCCCTGTCATATTACAACTATGGACTATTGTTGGATCCCAAACATGTCCATATCCACACAAATTTAGGAAGCTTGCTTAAAGACGTCGGATACTTGGACCTAGCTATCCGAATGTACGAACAAGCCGTCTCGTGTGATGGAAATTTCGACATAGCCTTGACCAACCTCGCCAACGCCATCAAGGATCGGGGCCGCATTGGGGACGCTATCAATTACTACAGGCGAGCAGTCAGCGCGAGTCCCGACTTCGCTGAAGCTGTCTGTGGTTTGTCGACAGCTTTGAATTCGGTCTGTGATTGGAGGGGGCGGGGTGGCGTAGTCTTTGATCTCGAGAAATACGATCGTTGGCACGTCGACGAAGACGGCAACTTGGTGGATGCCCAAACTCAGCCTCAAGGAAGCGGTCTTATGAAGAGAGTCGTCGACATTGTGCAACGACAACTGGATGAGGCGGCTTGTTGGGGTTCTGGTGTCCTGCGGGAAGATACGATACCTGTGATAACGTCATATCTGCGACAGGCGAGCCCTGTGGTCGAGCAACGGCCGGTCGAGTATGCTTCTAAGCTGAGGCTATGGGCGCGACAGAGGTGGGAGGGCTCTCGCGTGCTGCGTCTGGTAGAACGATGCACGAAGGCAACGATGCGCCGCTGGTACTGTGATAAGTATCTGTCCGGCTCAGAGAGGCCATCCGGCTACAAGCGCCCTACCTTGCCGTCTAGTCTGGTGGTTCCCCCTGCTCCGACCCTTCTCCCCTTCCACACCTTCACCTACCCTCTCACAGCCAAGGACACTCGAATGATTGCTCAACGGAATGCCGATAGAATCTCTTGCTCCACACTGCGCTCCTCTTGGCTACCTGGCTCAGTGTATCCGCCTCCATCTCCGCCTTCGCCGCACCTGAATGTCGGTTATATATCTTCCGACTTTAATAACCACCCCCTTGCCCATCTGTGAGTTGTCCAGGAAAGACGTCCACTCCCGTCCAGTTTGGTGACTAATGTTCCATCGGTCCAGCATGCAATCAGTGTTTGGGTTTCATGATACGGCAAAAGTAAAGGCCTTCTGTTATGCTACGACGGCGAGTGACATGTCTGTCCACCGTTTGCAAATTGAGCGTGAGGCGCCTGTGTTCCATGATGTGAGCAGCTGGCACCCCGAACGCACGATAAACCAGATCACCAAGGACGGTATACATATCCTTGTGAATCTCAATGGTTATACTAGGGGTGCTCGGAACGACATTTTTGCGGCAAGACCCGCTCCCATCCAGATGTCGTTTATGGGATTTGCCGGAACGCTGGGAGCGGAATGGTGCGATTACATTCTTGCTGATCAAACTGCCGTTCCTCCGGGGACCCTGCGGCCTTGCCGGGGGAATCTTGGAGTCGAAGATCTTTTTGATGATCAGATGGAAGATCCTGACTGGTTTTATTCGGAGAACATCGTCTTCTGTCGCGACACATTCTTCTGTTGCGACCACGCTCAGTCCAGTGACCCAGAGGAGCGTCGTATATCCTGGGAGGAGGAGCAAAGAAGACGATGGGAAATGCGGAAGCAACTGTTCCCTCGTCTCCCCGACAATGCCATCATATTGGGCAACTTCAATCAGTTGTATAAGGTAAGGCATTAAGATGCAACACTCCTCGGCGGCACACGGCCCACTAACGGCCATTTTCTATATGAAACAAAAAAAAAGATTGACCCAAGTACATTCCGTACCTGGCTACGCATCCTGTCACAGGTGCCGAAAGCGGTCCTCTGGCTTCTGCGATTCCCGGAATTGGGAGAACCGAACCTGAAGAGAACTGCTCGGGCATGGGCGGGGCCCGAGGTAGCCAACCGCATCATCTTCACAGATGTTGCACCGAAGAGTCAGCACATATCCCGTACGAGGGTGTGCGACCTCTTCCTTGACACGCTCGAGTGTAACGCTCATACCACGGCAGCCGATGTCCTGTGGTCCAGTACCCCTCTACTGACTTTACCGAGATACCCGTACAAAATGTGCTCACGCATGGCTGCTTCCATTCTCAGGGGAGCTCTGCCCAAGGATGACGAAGGTCATCAGGCCGTTGAAGAGCTCGTTGCCTCTAACGAGAAGGAATACGAACAAATGGCAATACGGTTGGCGGACAGCCTTACATACCAAACCAGCAATGGCTGTGCCCGTGGAGTCGGTCGTCTGGCTGACCTCCGCAAGTTGTTATGGGAAAACAAGTGGACTTGCGCTCTTTTTGATACTCGGAGATGGGTCAACGACCTGGAAGAAGCCTACCAGGAGGCGTGGCGAAGGTGGGTTGCAGGCGAAAGTGGTGACATTTACTTGTGAGAACTCAGCGACGTGGCGGCAAGGCGTCTTCAAGTTCCCATTTTCTTGTTACAGGGACTTCTCAAGCACAGGCTTGCTTGACGACGGACATGCATGTCTTGTCCCCTTAATAGATGAACCAGATCAGATGTGAATCCATCTACAATACAAATGTGCCGCTGCATAAGTACTAAACTAATCAAGGCCCCGTTTATGGCAAGAGCCACATCGTGAGTGTTGCCAGAGTGGCTCAGGCTAGTCACGTAAGGGGTCACGTGATAACCACTAGCCACTAAGGGTAAGCTATAGATCCGGAGGAGGATATCACGCATAGTATAAATATAAGTATAGCCTAGCTTATCCTAGCTTTATATATTATCAGATTATATATATGCACTTAATATCTATAGGTAGTAGTAACTATCGTTTTTTCGATTCGATACTAAGGAGAGGCGTATTAACGATTATACCTTTTATTAACTAGTTAACGCTCGCTATACTAAGATTAGCGCGAGCCAGGTAAAAGCTAAGTTAGTCCGATAACGCTATAAGGCCCTATCCTACTATTAATAGCGCCGTGATATAGGTAGGTAACGTGATTAAGACATAATAACTCCTCCGATACTATATTACCAAAGCTAAATCCTACTATAAGATCCTCCTAAATAATAAGATAGTCTTATAGTAATGTTATAGGTATACTGTGAGGAGTGATAGGTAACTGCTAAACGATATAGGGTTTAGTTAGGGACTAGTAGGAACTAAAGAGGGGGTATCGTCATAAGACTATTCGTTTAGTCTCTTTCTATAGACTCTAGGAACTATAGAAGACACTCCCTTCTTTATACCTACCTAAGGTCTTCTAACTAAGTAGGTGGCGAGAGGCCTCCTTAGGACTAAGTTTAGGTATAAGCTAGCTCCTAAGCTAACTAGCTTATTAGATCTAAGCTAGCTTTTAAGCTAACTAGCTTCCTAGACCTTAACGCGGTATATCTTTAACGGTCTAACCTAACTACAATCCCCGTATCTATATATAAGTCTAGTACTAGTCCTATAATAATATATAAGTCTAGTACTGGTCCTATAATAATATATAAGTCTAGTACTAGTCCTATAATAATATATAAGCACTATATATTCTGATAATATACCCCTCTCTACAAATACTCCTATCCTTAGGAGCGTAAGTACGTATAGTTAAAGAGGGATTAGTTATCTAGTAAAGGAAGCCTATATTATTACGAAACTCTTTAGGATAACCGTCTTTATTTAAACCGGGCTCTTTCTTCCTACTTAGAGTACTCGAGGAAAATAATAAGCGTTCGCCTTTAAACCGTAGATATAACTATATCTAACTAAGACGTTATTTAGGTATCAAGGTCCTAAGGGTAGTATAATTGGTTTAAAGAGTAAAGTAAAAAAGAATCTATAAATAACTATTATATAAATAAATAATATACTTAAAATATCTTTAAAGTAAGTATATAAAGAGATTGCCTATAGTGTTACTGTTAACTACCACGGTTTTTATTGTAGTAGGAATAAAAGAATATTAGAGGTGTAATAGTAGGTGTAATATATCGTGGTAATAGATATAAGGAAGGTATATATAGTTTTTTAGGGTTAGTTAACCTTTTACTATAGTAATACTAATAATATTCACTGTTTTCTCGTATAACCTTCTCTTAATATTTTTCTTTCCTAACCTAATATATATTTAGAGCTCTCGTACTATAGGTAAGTGGCTTTCTATATCTTTCGTCGAAGATGACTAAGTAATAAAGGGTAGTCTTTATTTATAATATTAAAAACGTTCCAATACTAAAGCGCCGCCGCCCTTTATTATTATATCTTATAATCTGAATAATAACTAGTTAGCGCTTATTATAGAGTATTTAGAAAATCTCCGCTAGGAGAATATAGCGTTACGGCTAGTATTAGGCTAGTATAATAGTATTACTAATAATAATAATAATACTCCTGCTAACGTAGTTAACTAGGGTAATAGCCCTATTATTAAGCTATTATCGGGTAGCGAGTACGCTTTTAGTGCGTATAAAGAGAATAATACTAATAATATTATTATAATTAACGATAATTCCTTCAAGGGCTTCTCCGAGGGGGAGGGTAGTAAAGTGGTTATAGTTAACCACGGGGAGGAAAAGGAGGATAAGGATAATACGGACCCGGATAGGGTTAATAATATTAATAAGGATAAGGATATAGCTAATACCTATAAAGGCGATAACGAGCTATAGGAGGATACTACGCGCACGGTTAAGGAGGACGTGGAGGGTACCTACCTCCGCGCTCTTTATAACCGTTATACGTGGTATTTCCTCTATTTTAAGTTGGACGGTAATCGCGACTATATTATCTTTAGCGCCTATAGGGAGGCGTATACTATTAACTTATATAAATACGAGTATTACTAAAGTAATAGCTCTTAGGATTACGTAAAGGTAAGTAATTATAGCCCCTTCCTAATAAGCTACTCCGTGGATCACTAATAGAATTCTAGATAACTCTTAAGGCTAAGCTACTAGGTAAGCGTATATAGCGTCGCCTAATTAAAGCTAATAAGCGCGGCTACTATACTAAATACGTAGCTTATAAGTAAACCCTAGTCCTTAGGAGAGTGTATTTTACTAACTTAATAATAGGCCGAGCTTAAGGAGCTATAGGTTTTACTGGGTAAGGCTAAAAGCGGGTATTAGGCCTAAAATTATTATAGCTTTAATAAGGCTCTTATAGTCCGCTATCACGCCGAAAAGGCGGCTTAAGATACCTGGTCTTATTAGGAGATTATAGAGAGTACGCCATTATATTTCGTAGCTATACGTAAACGCTTATACGAGCACCTACTTAGTAAGTAGCCGTAGTAAAAGGGGGGGTTAGGGGGCGGTTAATATATAGTTACCGAGGATTTATACTTAGGGGGAGGGGATTTTAGGCCTTAAACTTTCGCTTTCCGGTTTTTCTATCTAGTATAATAGTAAGTCCCTACAGGGTAATAATTAATTTTCCAGACCCTAATTTAGGAGGTCTACGGGTTTAGTATAGTAATTTCTGAATATTCTAATACGTGATATGTTTTCTAGGCCTAGTATATAGTAGTAGAGCTTATAAGGCATTCTAGTTATCTATCTAAGAGATATCTCCGGACCTTCTAGTATAATACTCGTAAAAGAGTAATTCCGGGATACTTCGCGTGGGTTCCTAAGTATTTTCCTTATATATATAGCCTTCCTACTTAATTGGGTATTAGCGGCGGTTCCTATTATAACGGTAAGCCAGGATATCCTTAACTTCGTACTTATCGGACTCCTAAGGTTTTACCTTGACTTCCTAGAGGACTTAGTCGCCGTCTATATAAGGCCTTTATAGCTTTAGGACGGAAATAGGAAAGATATTATGAATTTTTATAGTTAACGGAAGCTTTATCTTATAGGCGAGGCCGTGATTTCCTATAACCTCCTTAATTTTATAGGGTCCTAGGTACTTATCTAAGAGTTTCTTACTAGGCCGCTTCTAATTAATAGTCTTAGCAGAGAGGAGGATATACTTACCCTTTTTAAACCTATAAGCAAGCTTATCGGTATTATAGTACTTTATATATATCTCTAGGCCTTCTTAATAAGGTCTATAAAGGCCCTCCTATTCGTTACTAGGTATTTAATATACTTATCGGCTAATACGGCGTAGAATTTAGTAGCCGTAGGGAGCGCGATATTATTAAGTCCTTAGGGGGTATAACCTATAAGTGCTATAGCGGGAGACTACTAGATCGTAGAATACCACGCGGTATTATACGTAAACTAAGTTAGTAAAAGCTAATCTACCTAGTTATCCTGCTAATAGATAGAAAAGGTCCTTAGGTAATACTCTAGGTTCTAATACTAGCGCTTAGTTTAATTATCGGTTTACGGATAAAACACTATTAATAGTCGCCTCTTAAGTCATAAGCGCCTATATAGGGTAAACTAAACTTTACTTATAACTACAGAACCACGGTTAGAAACAATACTATCTAGTAGCCTAAAGGTAAAGAAGACACTCAACTATATAAGGTTCGTTAGTCCTTCTATATTTAAACTAAAGCTTCCCGGGATATATAGGGTAAATTTCGTATACTGGTATATAATAATAAGAGTAGCGTCCTTTTTCCAGCCTCCGTGTATTACGGGCGGAAGGCCGGTAATAAAGTTAACTAATATTTTCTAAAACGGACGGCCCGGTATAAGGAGACTTTAAAGGCACCCGTAGGTTTTATAATATCTAGGCTTAGTCCTCTAATAAATAGGGTAAATAGGGACGAAAGTCTTAATATCTTATTTTATATATTCCTAAAAGTAGGTATCTGTAATACGCTAAAGGGTCCTTATAATTTTATACTGTTTAGCTATAGGGTAGTCGTGAAAAGCCTATAGGATTGATTCCCGGAGACCGGAGTATTTTAGAATAAAAAGCCTATCGCGGAAAAAGACTAGACCTTATAGGACTACGGGTTAGTCGGGTTACCTTCCTATAGCGACTTATAAAAACGGTCCTCTTGTTAGGCTTCTATAATATTATCCTTAAGAGTAGGTAATAATGTTATTATATCGCCGTAAGGGGTAGAGGTAATATTAGGGGTAGCGTAAATAGGTCCGACTATAAACTTTTATATAAATACTTTAACCGGCCTTTATCGCTCTATACGAAGGTTAAGACTTCCTACTACGTGCTAGGGCTTCCTTAAAAGGCTATTTATAGGGTTACTAATACCCGGTCGGTATTATATAACAAAGTCGTAAACTACTAACTCCTTAAGCTATCGGACGTGCTAGGCCTTAACCTTAGGTTTTTCAAGAAGGTAGCGGTGATTTAAGTAATCCATTAGTACCTTTACAGGGGTCTACGCATAAACGATATAGTATTTCTATTATTAAGAAGCTTCTATAATAGCTATAAGCTCTATATCCGGGGTAGAGTAGTTTAACTCGGGACCTTACAGCTTCCTAAAAAAGAATACTATAAGTCTTTATTATCGGTTTACGTTAAGTTAACTAATAACTATACCTAGGGCGAAACTCGATATATCCGGCTTAATCAGGATTAATATTATTAGGTTAAAATATCGAAGGACGGGTATATCTTAGAATTTCTAGTATTATAGCCGAAAAGTATCCTACTCTCTAAAG